GGGTAGAAGTTGAACCTCTCGTGACGATCACAGCTCGAAACGTCCAAAATTTCTTTTGGAAGAACATAGTGTGCCGCTTCGAGTTACCTCGGGTACTGATTTCTGATAACAGTAAGTAGTTCGAGGACATTAAATTCCAGAACTGGTGCCAAGACATGGGGATCCGCCAGAACTTCACTTCAGTTGCACACCCTCAAGCAAACGGTCAAGCAGAGGTCACGAACAGAGCTTTCCTCCGTGAACTGAAGGCATGGCTAGACCGAGCTAAAGGATTATGGGCAGATGTGCAACCTAGTGTTCTATGGGCTTACCAAACCACAAAGAAGACCACCACAGGAGAGACCCCCTTTAACCTCACCTACGGCACCGAAGTAATCATCCCAACTGAGATCGAGGTTCCCTCGCTACGACTGGAAGCATATGACGATAAGGCAAATGAAGATGAGCTACGTACCAACCTCGACCTACTCAACGAAGTAAGAGACCTTGCATATATCAGGACCGCAACTTACCAGCAAAGAGTAGCTCGGTACTATAACGCCAGGATCAAGAAGCGGAATCTCCGCGTTGGCGACCTGGTCCTTCGTAAAGTTAAGGGTCCACCTCGTCCTCGTCCTCCGGGGAGTCAAGCTCCTCCTCCTCCGCCTGGTCCGCCGTCTCGGGAGCCAAGCCCTTCATTGTGATGCCGTCGAGGTTGAGCCTAGAGAACTTCTTTCGGACCAACTAGTGGCAGAGGTTGAATCCGGAGTGGTATGAGCTTGAGCCGTACTCCACTTGGAGGTCGTGATACTCCTGGGAGTCCTTGAAGTCCCAGACCGCCTTATCCCGCTCGGCCTCCACCATGGTGTCAAAGTTTTGAGTTTGGTCCAGAAGTGTAGACTCCAAGTCTCGAACCTACTAGCGAAGGAGCTCCCTCTCCGCTGCCACCCTCAACGACTCCTCCCTGTAGCGCGTGCTCTCCTCAGAAAGTCTGGCGATCTGCGCCTCCTGGTCACGGGCAAGCAGCTCCTGGGCCTCGCTCCCCTTGCGAGCCTGAAGGATCTCACGTCGGGCTTGGTCGAGCTCGCCCTGGAGCTTCTGGACGTTGGCCCTCTGAATGCGAGCGTCGCTGGAGTGGATGTTGGTCTGGAGGGCCATGGCGTGGATGGCGGAGTTCACCTGCCAACAAGAGACTAAGGTCAGAAAACAGGAAAAGAAAGGAAAGAACGAGAAGAAAGAGAAAAGACCACTTACCACCATACAGTGAGAAGCGACGAGCACGGCGAGCACCTTGGGCTCCATCTCCCCCCACCTAGCGACCTCCTCATCGCAGATCGCCCTTTGGCTCTTCCGCCCAGCCACGAGGTAATCATTGACACCCTCCCAGTTCCCCACACCGGGAATTGCGGGTAGGGGAATGGGCGGGAAGGCCCAGGAGGAAACAACCCTTGCCTCGGGAGCTCGCCCTCCTCGAGGCCGCCTTCTTCGGCACCTCCTTCAAATGGGACCGGTGGATCCTCTAGCGGTGGAGAAACAAAGTCTGGCTCAGCAGACTCGAACTCAGTGCCCCCAGAAGTGGAAGCTCGGTCAGGACGCGACCTCTTCGCCTTATGCTTCTAATTGCTGGAAAGAAGGCGGCGCGCGTCAACACCAAACATGATGGCTGCCAAAAAACCATAGGGTATTAGTCCAGTAAATATATATATATATATATATATATGTGTGTGTGTGTGTGTGTGTGTATATTTTTACAAGGCACTACGCGACCTAAAAGGCAACCTACCCGGACTCAAGCCAGCCTGCGCAAGTTTTTCCTCAGTCAAGTAGTCTGAACAAAGAAGGCCTACTACTGCCCAGGACAATAGCATTTTCCGAGTTTCAGCGTCCAACTCAACCCCAGAATCCTGGATGGCAGCCCTCCAAGAAGTTGGGAAGGGCCACCCCTCGGGGTTACGGACCACAAAATAGTCCCGCTTCCAGGTCGGAATCTTGTTCGGCAACTCGTGCAAGAGCTTGAAGCCGTGACAGAGAGAAATGTAGTACGAACGCCTTTCCGGAGGCGCTCCGGGAGTAGCATTCTTGATGCAAATAATGGAAGAAAAGATATCAAGATCAAGGAGAAAACAATACTCATAGCACAGAGAAATAGTCCCAACTACATTCCGGATGGCGTTGGGATGGAGCTGGTCAATGGTGACGTTGAAATGATTCAACACCTCCACTATTAGAGGGTGTAGAGGAAGACGCAGGCCAGCCTCGAGCTGTTCCTAGAAAATCACTATCTCATTGGGACCATGCTCCCAGGGAAAGTTACCAGAGGGGAGGCTGTAGATAAGGTCCCCGGGAAGGTTAAAGTGGAGAACTAGAGATCTAAGTCTCTCCATCGTCATAGAGGAGGGACCGAAGGTGTCGGGCTCTCTGCCCCGAGAAGTTGAAGCCACCTCGACGGAGGCCTCCCGAGCCTCCGAAGCCTGCTCCCAAGCTCTCCCTGAGCTCGAGGGGGCGTCGTCCTGGTTACCATCCCGAGGATAACACATGGTATGGATACCCAGACATGATTGACAGAATGATTAGACTCGCTAGAAAAGATGAAACAGTGTGAATAGGAGAAGAGCTCGGGCAGACTAGATGGATGCGCGATCTCAGAATCCGAAGACAAAGCAAGTTAGCGTGAAAGAAAATGAGGCATAGGGGCCCTCCTATTTATAACCACTGTGCCCCCAGATCAACCACCCAGATTGAGACAGATCTGACGGTTCGCAGTCAAGCTGACCGCACGTCTTCTGAAACCAAAATGTTACTAGCTGCACATCTCCCATGATTGAGGTAATGATGGTTGCACGACATCCGGAGTTAGGAGCCGCTTCGGCGTGTTTTTCGGCATTCGGAAAGTTAGAAATCCCCTGGCTTCCGCGCGCACATTTAGTGCGAGCAGTCAATCAAGTTTGAACTTCGGTCAAATCCACCCGTCACACTTCATGAACTCCTCACGCTAAGGTAGCACTCTTAGCCCGAGGAATGGGGGGCAATTGATGGAGGGTAATTTGATTTGACCCCTTGAGACGATGACATGTGGACATGACTCTGCACGAACAACTCAGCACCACAGCTGACCGCGGCTAAGTAACGAGCCCGCAGTATATCAATGCCCCATTGCCTGTCTCAGCTCGCTACGTCATAGCTTGCTATAGGGAGAGCTCGCTACAACGCGAGTTTAAGGACCTCTGATCTACTGAAAAGGAATACTCGAAGTCTATCCCAGTTTGCGAGATAGGGTAACCAGCTCGCTCCAACACTTGGAATTTGGAATTCTGCACATCACCCATTCCACTGTTGTGTGACAACACTGGATCTACGGGAGATTGATGTTAAAAGGTAGCATCAGCGGAGAATGTGGTAGACCCATTGACTAAGCCATTGACACAGAAAGTGTTTTAGAAACACGTGGAAAGTCTGGGACTCGGGCTTGTACCTGATTGGACCTAAGTGCAAGTGGGAGCTGTTAGACAGTGTATGCCCTTAGCTCCAATCAGAATGATGCATATTATGACTTTTATTATAAATGTATAAAGTACATATTTGATTCATGTTATTATGGTGTGTTTTTGTGTAATAACATTAATCGCCAACCCATTCTAACCGTAACAACCCTATTTTCCTTTGGTTCACCTCTTTAGAATTCAAATTCAACTCACTTAGTTTCGGTCCTAGAAACCAACCTACACCCAACTTATTTTCAAAAGAAATAAAAGAAACAATAACCTAGAAATCCATGTTGGAACCATCCCTACTTAAACTCTCTAAAATCCCATCATTTCCTACTATCAATCACAACAAGATTGCAGCCATGACCAAACCCACTACAATCTTAGCAACTCTACCCATTCATCCCATTTAGCGGTGAAAACGACCCAAAGCTTACCGAAAATCTCCTTTAGCTCCGCCTAACTTGTCTCAAGCAAGATTCTTAGAACCACCTATAGAACCCAGTTTATTTCAGCCTATTTGCATCACTTCAAAACCAACTCAAATCAGTCCACTTGCATTCTCCAAAAAGCAACCCAGTGTATACCATGACAATGTGAACAAACCTAACACACTTAGCACCTCCCAAACTAAGAACCACTAGCAACCAATACATTAAAGATCAATCAAGCTAGGGCCCACCAAAGCCAGCAAGGTCCAACTAACCTAACCCAATTAAACTTGGAGCCACCCAGACCATCTAAGAACCACTAGAAATCCACCAAAATCAAGCCTAAACTAACCTAAACCCACTAGGCTAATGTAACCAAGCTTATTACAATGCTAAACTCACTAATCGAAGTTAAACCAACCCAACCCACCTACACCAACTATTAAGTCAACTCAACTCCTTTTAAAATCCAGCCCCAACCAACTCAAAGCAAAATAAAACCAATACACCAAAGTTGATTTGAACCAATCCCATTTAACCAACCTAAAACTATTCAAAGCAAAAATTAGACCTACTCACTTAAGCCTACAAGAACCAAGCAAACCCATCGAAACCAACCCACACCCACTTAAACTAAACCCTATCTGAACCAAGCCAACACTTAGACTCACAAGAACTGAACAAATCTATCCAATCTACCCACACCCACCTAAAACAATCCAATGTACACTTGTTCAAACTGCCTAAACCTACCTAAACCAAACTCACTTGCTTAGACCTACAAGAGCCAAACAAACCTATCAGAACCAATTCAAACTACACCCCACCATCCACAAAAACCTCCCTAAACCAAACTAACTCACCTGGACTTGCAATTTTTACCAAAGAAAACTGTTCCAATTCATAGCCACACTTATTCAAACCCCTTAGACCTACTCAAGCGAAAGAGTCAACCTAGGCCATGTTCGTTTTTCGTAAAGTGGAGGGGGAAATGACCAATTTACCTGTGTTCGAATTTTAAATTCATGTGAGACCTACGCTAAGTTTTATTTTCCCGGGTATCAGTTCCCGGTTTAACGATACCCTTGCGACACTCGGGTAAATTGGTTTCCCGAGTGGAGGGTAAACAAATAAAACATAAAATCTCAAAATTGCACCCGACAAGATAAGAGTCTCTTCGACTTCTTTTTTTTCCCAGATCTCGGCTCTGCGTTTCTCCTCTCACCTCTCGGCTCTGCATTTCTTCTCCTCCATTCCAATTTTCTCATCTCACCTCTTGGCTCTGCATTTCTTCTCCTCCATTCCGATTCTCCTCTCACCTTTCAGCTCTGCGTTTCTCCTCCTCCGTTCTTCTTCTCCAAAAATCACGTTTCTCCTCTTCCACTCCATCATCTTGCTACGCGCCGTTGGTGAAGTTGGTGTGCCAATGTAAATAGATTATCAAAATCTTGCTAGAAAGAGGGGGTGCACCATTTGCCAACCACAACGTCTCCTATTTGCAGAACTTCCACATCTCTCTAGCAGACACCTCACCCACCTCCGCATCTCAGGCTTTTATCTCCACCGACGGAGTCATTAATGCAAGGGCTCGGATGTTGGGTGGAGGCACTTGCATCAATGCTGGCTTCTACACAAGAGAAAGCCCCAGGTATCATATATATGTTTCTTCTTTCTTTRATTATAATCATATATACGTAATAGATTAATAATTAAATTGTTTTGAACTCCTTTAGTAATTAGTGGGGTTTGAACTCAAGGAATTATTTCTTGTGGGTACCAGCAGAKAACTAGAGGTTTCTACTCAACTTTCTACATCTGTTCTGGGTATTCAATTCTCTGAGGGTAGTGTTAAGAACTTCTTCCGTGTTCAGTGCATATAT